TGGTCACTGCTACCTCAGTTTCAAAAGTTGCCACCCCACAAACCTAAAGAAATCTATCGTCTACAGCCAATGCTTACGCACCAAACGCATCTTCTCACAAGGAAGATTACGACTTACACATAAGACATCTCTACAGTCACTTTCTAAATAGGAATTACCCACCAAAAATAATCAAATAATCCATCACCAAAACTTCCAAAATCAACAGGAACACTCCCGTCAACTATGTAACTAAAAAGAATTCCATCACCTCTAATAATTGTTACAAAAATACATAGGAGAAACCTCAAGGGATCTGAATAAATGCTTAAATGAACATAAAAGGTACATTTTACAAAATAATCGCCAAATGCGTTGGTTGCCCACCGTAAGGAGACTGACCACAGTTTTAATAAAAAAATGTTATTTTGATCAAAGGAGAAAATAATTCACTATGGTTAAATGTCTAGAGAGTGCATTAATCACAAGAACATCGACAGTAAACTTGCTCCATGACTCTTACAACATTTTCCCATTGGTGGCAGATCTTCTAATATCACAGTGTGGAATACCTACTTAGAAAAGAGTTGGAAAGACAAAGAAAAAGACTCTGAATGAATTCAGCTAGATAAAAAAAATTTTAAAGATCCCAGCACCCGTCTGTCGTGCACATGTGTAGGCCTACCAACATAACAAATTTAGTCTGATGAAGTCCTGAAGGACGAAACGCGTCATAAAAAGGAATTTTACTACACAGTGATACAATTTCCCCAATATATATATATATATATATATATATATATATATATATATATAATATATATGTATATGTGTGTATGTGTATGTAATATATGTGTATATATATATATATATATATATATATATATATATATATATATATATATATATATATATATATACACACACATCTATATTCAGCATCGGCTAACACGTGTTCACCTCTGTGTTATTGTATAGAAAAGAAAGGAATGCATTCCACTTCTTTTTCTTTGCAAATTCTTTCCTCGGGGAGAAAGCGTCTAATGTGCGTTTAACCGCAACTACCCCGCATATATATTCAATATCCTAAGCGAACAGATATTTACACAGTCGCATACATGTGGTGCTACCGAAAGACTTTGGGAATTTTAACAATATGAACGAACCACATGTAGCATGGACTTTTGTTGCTACCTTTCCTTAGATGTATGCTTTGTGCGTATGCTGACTCGCAAGTAAAATATTTCGATGGAGGCGGTGAAAAATATTTACTGGTGTAATTTTTTCATAATCAGATTTCTTAATTTATTTTTTTATGAATCACCATGCATATTTGTGTTTGCACGGGGCTACCGAAATGATTGGTCACCAGAATAGTTAATAGCGAAATGAAATCTGTGTGCCGGGTTCAATTTCGGACGCATTTATTGTATTTTGTACTCTATTTGTAGCAATATTTATATTAAATATATGAATTCACTTCTCCCTACAACATATATCCCAAAACGGAGTGTCGCATCTTATATTGGAGAGGATATAACCCCTCCTTATAATCCCGTATTACATAATGAAATGCCATGAAAGGCCTATATGGTACCCTCAGTCAGTTATGTGCCATGCGTGATACACAATTATTAGAAATCCTATAAATGCAGTTGATAGAAATGCGATTAAGAACACAAATTCTCACAAAATAGTAGAACTATGAATACAAATAATACGAACAGGATTAAGAATACATTACCTGTAAGTAATAGTAGAATACTAAGAATGCGGACAGGGATAAGAATACGAATTCTGTAAATACTGTTTGGATTTTTGAATTATTGAATAGGAAACATTATCTGTAAATAATAGTAGAATACTAAGAATGCGGACAGCGATAAGAATACGAATTCTGTAAATACTGTTTGGATTTTTATGAATACAAATAATACGAACAGGATTAAACATTATCTGTAAATAATAGTAGAATTTAAGAATGCATTTGAGCGATAAGAATACGAATTCTGTAAATACTGTTTTTTTTATGAATACAAATAATACGAACAGGATTAAGACTTCATTATCTGTAAGTAATAGTAAAATACTAAGAATGCGGACAGCGATAAGAATACGAATTCTGTAAATACTGTTTGGATTTTTATGAATACAAATAATACGAACAGGATTAAGACTTCATTATCTGTAAGTAATAGTAGAATACTAAGAATGCGGACAGCGATAAGAATACGAATTCTGTAAATACTCTTTGGACAAGAATCCAAAGAAGAATCTGTAATGTTATCGGTCCTGATTAGTCACTTATCCACCGGCGTAACGTGGAAAGATCATACTGAATCAAATGCTACGTCTGCTGCTCGGAAGGATGGTTCACTTTGTCGTGCTAGACAATTTTTTCTCGCCAGAATCTAGTTTGCATATTTATACGTCTACCATCTGCGTATGTTATACTGTAACGTTTACACCCACCGTTAATAAATCCTAGTAGGATCTCCAGCTCTCTTAGGATAGCGTCGCTGTTGTGGTTGAATAAATCTATGAAGAAGGCACATCCACAAGCTCTATTTTTGTGCAGCTACTCAATTCATTTTCTATCCGTAAAAGTTTGCTCCCTGTATATGTTCGGGATAATTCTAGCCTCTTTTCTAAATAGATCGAGTTTTCCTGGTAGTTCAAATAGGTATTTGTGTTGTACCTGATCAAAGGAGGCTTGTTATTACGTAGCAGTTCAACACTGTTTTCATTGATGTTATGTGAATAAAGAGCAGAATCTGATGTGATCCGCGGTGGAACAATGCGTGTACATTCAAACATAGTTTCTTCTACTTTGTTTAACTCACAAATCTTTGCTCAAAACGTAGCAAGGATTTCATTCACTTCCTTTCCAACAGTGCTGACCGCTATGATCGTTTCCATAAGCTTATAATTTCAAGTAGTCTTCTTTTTCTTTGTATCACGTGTCTTCATGGCATAACGATCATGGCTCTCCACAGCTTCATATCCTGTGTGGTCCTTAGCAGTTTTTTCTACCTTAATCTTCCAGTCCCCCGTTTCGCAATCCATTGACCCAAATTTATCAGCTAAGTAGCTCCTCTATCTTCCTTGTCTTCAATATCCCTTGTGAGGATTAGGTTTTCCTCATTATATGTCGAAGGAATTTCAGCTGACTTTTCCTCTTAATTCTGTCTGTTTCCATTTTAAGTATTCCTTGTTGCTTATTCGCCCCAGACATTTTTTTCAGTATCCTTCTGTAGAACCACATTTCTGGAGCTACTACTTTTTCTCTACATCCGTGGGGAGTTTGTCCAGCATGCACTTCCATTTTTTTAGAATGATATTCACCCTGTACCAAACCCAAGAGCTACACAAAATAGAGGGTCACAGAGTAAGATGTACAGTTTATGGGAATATATTGTGAAAACTTGAATAGGAATGATCGGGAAAGTATCCTCTTGGTTGTCAGTTCCACAGAGTAGCTGTGGGCAAGAAGCTTCTCGATTGGTAATTACATCTCACCAATGGAATACGAAGGTAATGAAGGTAGTTTGCTGCAATGTGCGTGACAATGTGCGTGGCATTAGCCACGGAGGTTAGACCTGGTGGAACTAAGGAGTGTAGTTCATCTGAACAATTTCCATGGAAATAGCGATAGAGCAGCGAGAGGCTTACAGAGTTAAATCTGGAAGAAAAGGATTGCAAGATGGAGAATAAGTCATCACTCACAAGGACGTAGAGATGCTTTTGGACTCTATCGAGGCTGGAAAGTGAAGACGGGGTAGCTCCTGCCCTTATATGGTAGCGATACAAGAGGATGGATATCACATAGAAATCCATCACTGAGTATTACTAACCAACAAGATAAGTTGGCTAAATGCTGCACTATAATGAAACGCTCAATTTGATATTTCCAAAACTTACTTTTATTGCAAGACCAAATCCATTCGCATATATAAGATATCTTAGTTGCTTATTCAATCCGTCAATGGAAATCTCAATATCCTTCTGTAGATTCACACTTCTTTTGCCTATCAATTTTTTTAGGATTTCCTGTTCTGCCAAATATCGTTAGGTATTTGATGCGCTGCTTGCTTCTGTCCCTCTTGCTTTTAATGTGTCCTATGTGTGTCATATTTTCTAAGCTCTCTTTCCTCATTATGGGCTGTAGAAATTTCAACTGACTCGTTCTGATGTTATGTATTCGCGTCGCTTTTGCTTCGATTTTCTCCAAAAGTTTATCATTGTTCACATATTCAGTTCTTCGTATTCACAGCATCCTTCGGTAGAACCACATTTCTGTTGCCTCAAGTCTCTTCTTCATTCGTGATGAGATTCCCCAGCATTCCATGCCATATAAAAGGACTATTACATGACAGTTCAGGATACTTTTCTTTTTTTCTAGTGAGGTTTTCCTGTTTCTTGAGACTTAGCTTAGCTTAGCTTGGGAAATCGACGTAAGCCTTCCGACAAGCTTCAACTCTTATAAAGATTTTCCAAGCATAGCTAAGATGTGGCACAAGGCCGAAAGTATGGGGCACTCAATGAGGATCGAACTCACTACCGCCTCGGGGTGTCCAAGCTTCAAATGTTATTAAGCTTATCAGACAATATGAAAGGAACTTACTTAAAATAAATAGACAAAACTTGTATTATTATTTTTTATATATATATATATATATATATATATATATATATATATATATATATATATATATATATATGAGAGAGAGAGAGAGAGAGAGATCAATTTGAATCAAGTGCAAGGAGAGGTGGACGTAGGTCTTTATTAAGTTAACAGCTTCTGCCATCGTAGGTTTAGTTATATGTTATTAGGATAGAGTTCCGGAGCAGGGGGGGGTAGATTCATACCTTTATGAAGTTAACAATATGTGATAAGATTTAAATTTGGGGAAATTAAACACTTCAGCTAGCATAGGAGAAGTTACTTGCTAGTGTGATTAAGTGCAGGGAGGAATGAACTCATGCTTTAACACGTTAACAGATAAATTTTAAAGTTAAAC